GAGTTCATTGTTAAACAACTTATGAGGGTTAAAACTGAGGCAGTGGTTGTGCAAATTGAAGTTACAAAAGTATTTTGAAATTGAAGATGGAGAGCAGCCATGTGTTTGGTGGATTAAAGGTACTAGTAGAAGTTCTATAACTACAGAAGAAACGAAAAAAGATTTTAGGAAAGCTTGGTATCAGTGTGCATACCGGGCGATGCACAAATGTCAGATGTGGGAGTTCCTGCGTGCATACCCGGCGATGCACAAATCTCACATTCGGGACATTTTGTGGAATTTCTCTACAGGACCCATATATCTCGCTACAAGACCCATGTATTTCGCCACAGGACCCACACAATCTCAACTGCAACCTCCCCATTGGGCTGGCAACGTATTGCTTTTGTCCTTTCTTTGTTCTACTTTTTCTCGTTTTTTTTTTTTCGCTTACTATTTTTTGCTCGGCTTCTCATCAGAAAAAAATATATTCAGTAATTAGTAGCCATTGGAGTTTATTGTTAAACAGTTTATGAGGGTTCAAACTGAGGCACTGGTTGTGCAAATTGAAGTTCCAAAAGTATCTTGAAATTGAAGATGGAGAGCAGCCATGTGTTTAGTGGATTCAAGGCACTAGTGGAACTTCTATAGTTACAGAAGTAATGAAAAAAGATATAAGGGGAGCTTGAAATCAATGTGCATACCGGGCGATGCACAAATGTCAGATGTGGGAGTTTCGACGTGCATACCCGGCGATGCACGCGGGCTGCAATGTGTTAAAAAACCATTTCATTAGTTGTGAGCAGTGACGTCAACTACTAACCAGCTAAAAGTTAAGTTGAGTTTTAAGTAAGTGTCGATTCAACATCGAGAATTTCACTGTTCCCTTAAAAACAGTCCTTGATAAGTGCCATTTTCTTCCAAACGGTGCGCAACGTCCAAGTAAGTGAATGGTATGGCTCTCCTAGAACTGCGCAGACTAGTACGCTAAGAAAAACTGGATGTCCTTCTAAAGGTGTCCGTGATTATCGTAGCTTTTTTCGTTCAGGGAATAAGCAAGCAAGCGCACAAATGATGACTGCTTGTTATACCGTTAGAGGATTGTGAATAGCGGGAAAGAACAATGAGGCCAAGTCCCTGTGTAATATTCTAGACCGCTCGTGACATGTGAGTTGTTGTGTAGTAGAGCATTTTCTTTCACTGGAATCTACAATTCGCGATATCCGTGCAAGCCTATACAGCTGCAAGTAGCAGCTGCCTCGGCATCTTGAAGTGAAACCAACTGTCGGAGGTGTAACCTACTTTAGATGAACGTCACTTGTTGAAGCGCGGGGTCGCTGCTGAGCTGCATGCCCCATGGATGTTTATTGCACTGACTGCGCAATTCATAATTCTAGTGAACTTCGTCGAGCCAGTTGACTTGTGAAGACTTATGAAACTTCGGCGGATGGTCACACGTGCTCTTCGAGCACGTCATCGGACTCGTGTGGATTCCATCTTCCCAACTAGTACAATTTCCCCAGGCTCTAAGCTCATGGAAGAGAATCTATCTTGGAGGAAGGATTGTCCACAGAGAGGAATGGACAAATACTGGAGCAATGGTTCAAGAAATATGCGAGTTGATGTTTTTTTCAATATCTACAGTGGGGAACGTGGCTGGTCTTTGGCAGCCGCCCGGTCAAAACTTCTCGAATCACTTCAGACTATCCTCTCTATTGAAGTGTCGGTCCTTCATCTTCATATATATTCCAAGAAGTTTCTCTCGCTGAGTGCCCCACAAAGAGCTGACTGAGACCGTGATAAACACCGTTGAAGTGGACAGCATTAATTGTTCATAAAAAAATGGCCGACAAATTTCACCACATTAACCCATTGCCTACCGCACCATGTGCAGCAAGCCCATTTGCCTCCGTGTGTCCGCGTGCTGCACATGGTGAAGCACGGGTTTTCAAAGGGTATTTTAGACATTTTCCTTGGGCTCCAATCTTATAGAAATAAGGATATCAATCCAGAAAATAACATACAGAAGTGCAAAGGAATTCCTGAATTAATGGTACATGTTGTGAAAAACTCTAGTCCACCCTCTCAATTTTCTCGCCAAATTGTAGCAAAAGTAAAAGAGCAGCTGTGCGATGACTTCGAGCATATAAAACAGTCAAAGCGATGTCGTTTTAACCGTTTCTATCGCATTTTTTTCCTTTTATATTCTGCAGGATACATTTTCAAATCTGTCGCGCTTTCGCTTACCCAACTCCGTATACCCAATCATAATAATAATAATATAATATATGTTTATGATATAGATGAATGATAGAAATAAATGATATAAATGAATAAAGTTTTATTATGGATCTGCGGCAATTCACCGCGTACGTGGGTCTGAATAATGCGCAGGCTCACCATCCGCGCTTTCCCGCCAGAAAAAATAAACGCGCGCGGTATTAATCGATCCAGGGGTAAAGCATAATGAGGTTGTCAATTCCTTTGCTTAGCAGAACAATACGCGTTTTGGGGAGCATATGCGTGCTTGTTATAAAAATTACTCGGCTACTTAATTAGGACCTAGCAGTCAACCCTGCGTTGCGCAGCAGTTCGCAACGGCACGTTGAGAGATCCTCAACGCACGCTGTATGGGCGGAGACGCAGACGGCTCGAGCATGCGAGTGTGAATGTTCGCGCGAGAGAACGTGTCTAATCGGGCGAAACTGCGCAACGTGGCCGTTGAGAACTGCGCAACGCAGGGTTGACTCTGATTATGACTCGACATAATAATTTGCATAATGTGTCATTTGAACGCTTGCTAGAAAAGTAAAAAATTAAAAAACCATAAGGATTCCGCCCAGAAGTCTTGCTTCCTATTATGCAAATATGTCAGTTGTGATCATTAAAGACAACATACATAGGTTAGCCCAACAAGATTCAGTTCCGCAGAGGAACAAACTTAGGAAATATCACACTCTATGGACAGTCGAAGGTAGGTGGCGCGGCGTCAAAGGCCTAGCATGGAAAGAGGTGCGCCTCGTCTCATTCGACGCATTGAAGAATAGAGATAAAGTGTGCGATTTTGGGAAATAGAGACAAAATGACCTAGAATAGGATGCAGTAGAAGTGTGACATGTTGGGAATAGGTCTAAAGGTCAAAAGGATTTCTAGCGACGGCGTCCCGTGAACCCAGTAGAAGCGTTCTAACCGCAACGATTTCTTTTTGATGTTCGGCGAAAATTTAAACGCGAAGCGGCCCTTCGAGTTTCCGAATTGTTTACCAAAATAAATACAAATATTTTGTGAATTTCGTTCTTATGGTGGGTGAGTGATGGGCCTCAAGCCAGTAAGATAAAGCGTGAGATAGAATCATTCAGGGAGATTCCTTTAGAAGCAAGAGCGGGAAGGAATTAGGTTTCAAAAATCACATCAATCACAAATCAAGATTACATTAGCCCTACTTTGAGCAGTTGAGATTGGAGATGCCGGGATCTTTCTGATATGTTCACTTCAAAATGAAGCTTCGAAATGATCAGCTTTCTAAGAATCAGTATAGTTATGTAGACAGGAATAACAGGCAGTGTCATATGAAGAATTGTGTATAGCGTCACAAAGCTGAGAATATTCAGGTGCCCGCTGACGCACTCCGAGTTGGTTTCGTAACCGAATTTGTGACGTATTGCAAACTTCACGTCGGCTTCGCTGTCACTTGCAAAACAGAAGGTTACCTAAACAAGCAAATAAATATGCTAGGAATGAGAGGTAAACTTCGCTCAATATAATGAAAATTTTAGCCATGCGATACGAATGGGCAGTCAGAAAAAAATCAAACTAGCCGCAGAATCAAACGCGTCCAGTATCCAACAAAGAAGAACATTCAATAGGACTCTCCAGCTAGCGCTTACGATGTCTGTTTTTCACCTTCCCAAACAAGTATGATATAAGAACAGACGATCTGATTACCTGGACGGAGCTTGATTCAAATTCCACCTTTCGCCCGCGCGGTGACTAGGGTACAGGCCCCGCTATCACGTTAACTAGTCGGTGCCATTGCGACCATGTATGGCAACTACATACTAATCTTGTCCAATATCATTTCAACTCCAATTCATACGCGAAAGCTAGACTTAGCATAATCCGTCACGACCTCTCGAAACTTACAAATTGAATGAATGATGGAATGTAGATCAAGGCGATGATCGCTCTGATAACGCATCTCCTTGGCTGACAATGGCTTAGGACATAAAAGCGATACGAAAACGAAAACAATAGACTATAAAGAGCGTGAGCGTAGCAATGCAGCATAAAACTATATCTGAAAGGTCAACAAGTTATTATGCATTCATGATTGAAGTGAACCCAGAAGAAGTATTTACTAAATTCAATGTGAGGTGCAAAGAACATCTTACCCAATATAGCAAACCATAGGTCCGAAACTCCTGCACGGTCCATGAGAAAAATAGTAAAGCCCGAGCCCATCCGGTATGATTCTGGAAAATGTCAGAATCGAGAGTATTTGCCAGTGCAAGGATGACCATTGGACCATCGTCACCTTTGAAACAACTTTCAAATAGAGACACCTCAAAGAATAGTCAGATTTGAAGAGTGGGAATGTGAGGCGCTTTTGCTGTCAAAATATTTCTGAATATTTCATTGGTTTGATTCTTACACCACGTTACTCTACGTCAAGTTCTATTCTGCCGAGCACTATCGTATCTCTCTTTGGCAAATCTACTGGTCGTTGGCCTTTCCTTTCTCTCCAACTGTTTGGGAAGGTGATCGACCAGTCATTGGGAGATTACTGAAATGAGTAGAGCGCCTCTCCACTGTCTAATATTCGATAACGCCGGAGATGATGTTCGAGCTTGGAAGGAAGATTATGTACTCGTTTCACAAGGTTGCTTGTTCCCTGTTATGGGCATGTATAAAAAATGACCCGTGTTAATACTCAAATCACAAAACCACAATACTCTTTAGATCCACCGAAAACGCGACACATTCGAATACCCAAACTGCTTGGTGGGGCTGTTTTTTTAGAATAATCAGTGATTTTGTGCAGCTCGTTGCTTTCTGATTATGTTGATAATACAAAGCTGCTGACGTGATAGCTAAAGCCAAAATCGGTCAAAAATTTCAACAGTAAATAAGCCCGTAAAAACGGCTTTCACTATACGTTTCATCCACACTACCGAAAAGCATGTACATATACATGTATATATCTGTTTTACTCAATAAAGCGCTAGGGAATTTTATTCCCCTGCATTTTTGTGCGCCTATCTTTTTGTCTCTGCAACAGCAGCGGTGATATTACATATATACATAAAATTATATATATGTAGATTTATATACTCGTTTTCAAACTCCGAATGATGAGACCACAGTCATAGTGAAATTCCATAACGCGGTTTCAAGTCTACTTAGAGACCGGGTTAAGAACAACTTGATACACTGGGAGCCAAGGCCCAGATTTGCTAATCATTTCTGAGATAAGCTGCACCGCTTATAGTGGATGGAATGTGTTTACAACAGGGTGGTGTTTGCTGCAACTGTTCACAGTGATTGGCGGTGAGTGCACGTTGGTGGACTGAGCCAAAATACAGAAATCACTCTATGCGTTGAACACAACTAAACAAAAAACCTACAAAGGCTACTGAAGGAGACAAAAAATGCTTGAAGTTAGCGGGTCTTGCGCTGATGTGAGCAAAGCCAGAATCTGAATTTGCATCTCTCTTCTCTCGCATCTGAATCTGGTCCAAAAACTTGTCGGAGACCTGGAACTGTCGAAGCAATATGGCCTGTACGTGTACAAAGTCGAACTCTGTGATATGTCTCTATGATGTCGATGTTATACATACCTACGTGAATCAACATCACCAGAACATTCTTCCGGAGACGACGCTTAAAATATGACTTGGGTGGGACCAGAACCTGAGTAACAAACACATACGAGCGTAGCAGAAGCGAGTTTCTACAGAACTGCTGGGAAAAGTTGAAAATGAGCTAATGCGTGTTGAATAATATGAAGGATTCAAGGAAGAGAAATATGATGACGTAGTGGCTAGGAAGTATTCTCACTGCCGCTTAAAATTTTACATGTGGGCCCTAGTGAGCACGGCCCGGAAAAGGAAAAATCGGTGGTGGTCACAACTAATCTGCATATCCCTCTTTTCTGAAAGCACCTTTTTATCCTTCATTTAAACTACACCCATTTGATCGGTCCAAAACACAAAATTTCGCTCCAAGATTCACTTCAGAGCAATTTAATAGAAAGCGGAGGATGTGGGAAGATCGATAAGATCTTCCTTTTAGAACAGGCACAAAGACGGTGCCGCGGATCCAGCATGTGGAATAAAAACGGTGGTTGAAGGAGACTTACGGACTCGTTGGTGAGCTCAAACTTTTCCGCCTGCGATGTGAGGGAAGTGGAGCGTGATCTAGCTTCCAAGAAACCTCTGTTTCAGTTTTGAAAATTTCAAATAAAAAGTGCGAGGAAAACTTGAGGGACTTCACTCGAGGTGCCAACAGAAAGACTTGGAAAAAATAGAGATGACTTTCTGCCCAAAATAATTTATGTTGCTACGTGCGGTTGAGAGAAATATTATAGAATCTCGTAATTTCTCCTGAAGAGGTTAGAGGACGAAGGATATAGGTGACAAACCACATAGTGAACAAACGAGATTATGCACACTGCCTCCCCATTTGAGTGGCGCACTGGCGAATTGTAAAGTTCTGTTTGAGCTGGATATTCAACAATTAGCGAGCTTAATTTGTAGTCAGAAGAGATATCCTCTCAATAGCCACTGAGAAGTCCCTGTATGAGAAACAAATCAGTGAACACTGGAAAATAATGCTGCGTACCTCTGCTGAACGAATAGAGCGGAGAGGCATGCGGAAAGATCACATGCGGCGAGATTTAAAATTAGGCCAGAATAGCCTGTAAGATTCGATGGTGTTTTGTTCACCACTAGATAAATCAGTAGTGTATTAGCGGCGATCCCAAATGTAGTTGTGACGGAGTGCAGTAGAATGCTGACCAGTAGCGAGAAGTCCATATTCTAAATATTCAATTTTTTTCGGAAATATTTCTTAAAGCTTAGAAGCACTTCCAAGGGCCAAGTTTGCGCAACAATTCGGTTCAAATATGAAAGGGGGTGCAAAAAGAGCAGACCAGTGTGAAACAGGAAAATCTTAGGGAATACTGATAACACGACCCCTTGTTCTATTCTGTGGAGGTGTATGAGAAACAGATATCCGAGATAAGAGGAGTTGGAAAGGGGAAAAATTCTAGGTGAAGAGCACAGCAGATGAGCGAGACCTCATGAATAGTGATACAGGGAGGGCGGACCGATCAAAGCAAGGAGAATGGACCACAGTTTGGGGCCTAATATTGCAGTTTCTGAGGCATCCTCCTGCCCATCGACCCACATAGGACCAGTGATAGGTCATCTAGGCACAAGGAAGTCTGGTAATCGGAATCAATTCAAGACTTAGATTGACTGCTTCTCTTTGAATCTGCTTACAACTGATTGTAAGAGAGGAGAAAAGCTGCTCGACATATGGATACCTCTCCTAGAGAGTACGGTGGCTCTTGAATGGTTTATTGACCATATTACCAGAAAGGGAGCTATTAAACATTCAGAAGTTTATTTTTATATACAATAAAACATACAATGCATTACTGAAGAAGTGCTCGAGATGGCCTCCTTTCGGCAGCGATACAGGCTTCAAGTCTCTTCTCAACTGACATCACCGTGGGCCGCAAGTAAGTGACGTCAACGTGACGCGAGAAGATCATCACACTGGAAGTGGCGCACAATTCTCAAAAGGACAGGCAATTGTTGGATCCGGCTAGCAGGCATTCTGCTGCTCGACGTCGTGTGCACACAAGGAGCCGATTTCCAAAATCTGTCATGATTTAGGCAGGAATTACTTCCTGACACCGAGACACCACTTGTCTTTGTGGACAAATCGTCGAAAATTAACGCCCAGATCTACCAGGAAACAATTTTACGTGATGTGCTCCTTCCATGGACTGTTTCGACCTCCAGCAAATGTCAGTGCCTTCTTCAGCAAGACTAGGCGCCTCCCCATGCCGCAAAATCTACGCTGGTGTTCTGTGACCGCCATTTTCCAGGTTACTGGTCACAAGATGTTTGGCCATCTAACTCGCCCGATTGAACCCAATGGATTTTGCGGTGTGGGGCTTCTTGCAGCAGAAGATGCCTTCTGAGCAACATCGAAGTTTGGACTCCCTGAAGGCTTCCTTGGAGGAAGGCGTGGAAGGAACTCGACGTCAGCTACTTGCGGCCCACGGTGATGTCAGTTGAGAAGAGACTTGAAGCCTGTATCGCCGCCGGAGGAGGCCATTTCGAGCATCTTCTTAGTAATGAATTTTATGTTTACTGTATATAAAAATAAACTTCTGAAGATATGATAGCTTCTCTTTTTGGAAATATGGTCGGTAAACCATGCGCCAATATTTGTAGCCACCCTGTATACACTGGTTAGCATAAGTCCTCCTGAAACGTTCTTGAATATTCGTGATAGGGAGTTTCTTCTGAAAAAGCCTGTTAAAGAAGAGAGTGCCCAATGTAAAAAGGACTTAGAGTGTCATTGCCAAACAAAAACACGAAATCTCTTTATTTCTTACCTTCAAGAAAGTGGCCTTTTTGCCAACTTTGCAAAATTATAAATCCGCCCCTACGTTTCTTGGTTGAGCTTGGCTGTTATTCGGTGGAACTGTCAGGTTGTTACCAATCATTCTTTTTTGGGTGATGACGAAAGTTACACCGCTTTTAGAATTACACTGCGTTGCAAAAATATAAATCCACCTGGAAAGTTCTTGAAAATTCGCATGATAGGGTGTTTCTGAAAAAGCCTTTGAAAGAAAAATGTGCTCAATATAAATATAATTTCGAGTGTAAACACCAACTTCCATTTCGAAAACACGAAAAAATTTTATTTTTATTCTTTATTTTGTTTTTTTTTGATTTGTTACCTATATCCTTCGCCCTCTAACCCCTTCAGAAAAAATTACGAGATTCCATTTCTCTCAACCGCACGTAGCAACACTAAATTATTTTGAGCAGAAAGTCATGCCCACCTCTATTCTTTCTAAGGCTTTTTGTTGGCACCTCGAGTGAAGTCCCTCAAGTTTTCTTCGCACTTTTTTATTTGAAATTCTCAGCACTGCAACTGAGGTTTCTTGGAAGCTCGATCACGCTCCACTTCCCTCACATCGCAGGCGGAACAGTTTGAGCTCACCCACGAACCTGTAGGGGTAGGCATGAGGGTTCAGAAGCTCTTTGAAACCTTCATCGGCCACCATTACGAAGTTCAATAGGCTAGTTACCAGCGCCAATAGGCCTGGACCTCAGAGGATTGTTTCTGCGACTTCACGAGTAATATCTCGAAGATACGTGCGAACAAGCGCTGGAAGCTGGTTCATTCCGTCGTTTTGTCGCTGAAACTGCTATCTAGCGCACTTCCTTGCAACGATTTGTTCACACACGTCTTAACAAAAAGGATTACAATCATGAAAATGCTTAACATACAACCGATTCGGGAAAATTGAATAGAAAGCAAAGATGCTACAAGTCACTGTACGGATTCCGTCATGAGCTTTATTTATCGATCGCTTCCCTTAGTGGGAAGATGGTCTGCTGTCTGGCCACTCTGGAATAAAAAAAGGCAACTGGACCAATGCTAGTGAAATGGAATGTTAATTTGGGACTTCTCCATCACATTGCTTTCCCATTACCGTTTTACTTTGATACCGTTATTTTTGCCCACCCTGTAGATTGCAGCGGTGAGTGGGGTGCGCACCAATCCAGGTGCGATCTTGGACGAAAGTAGTGTAGTGGCAAGTGGCACGTTTACCACGCGTGCGGTCCTAGGGGAATCCTGGGTCGTGAGTCGCCCGGGCCAACCAAGCCTTCCATCCCTCCGGGGTCGGTTAATTGGTACCAGACTTGTCTGGGAGGATAAAAACACTGACTTGTACATCGGCTGGCCCCCGCAAGTCATTGTATAGGCCACATCGCATTCAAACGCCACTACGAATGTACAAATGGAAGTAGAATGCGTGCCGCATCCCAAAAACGGGATTGATCAACGGCAAAAATTTATCCTTCTACCCTTTACCTCATGTACTCAGTCGAGTGAACAGTTTCTTTACTTATCCTGATTTTTATCACTGTGCTCATTTTGATTTCTTTTTTCAGATTTCTAGACAAATATACGTGATTATTTATATACGTATTAGCCTTTAATACATATACATATGCCCAATGTAGAGAAAGAAGTGACACCGCTAAATGTTTCGCGTTGCACTGCTGAGGGCACGGGAAAAAGCATGAAAAAGACTATTAGCTCTAGTTGAGCACCAAAAAAAAGGAAATTTCAATTCATTTTTGTCTCTTTGCTCAAACTAAGCCACCTGTTTAAGAAACATAAAGAAAGCGCTCAAAAAGACCAAAAGCGAAAAAGGAAGTACACATCACCACCACATTCTGGGGAACCTACACCTAAACGAGATAGTTTGAGGTACAAAATACCTAGAAGCTAGTCCAGTCCCCGTCATTTCAACCACGTTTCTCCTTTTAGTGTGGCAGTGCAATTTACGCAAGCTCCGAAATGATAAGCACGGACCGTAAAAAAACTTGGGGACGCAGATAATAACAGAAATCTTACCACGCAGAGTTCCAGCCTATTAAATTTGGAAGATGCTTCGTCAAAGAGATGAATGAACGCATGATGGATCGGTTCGACCACGTTATAGAATTTCATGACGTTGGTGCAGAGCATGGACAAATTGTAACATGGTCATCAAGAGACTCGCTCGCAACTGGACGCCATCCGTCAACAGCAGATCGCGGCCTCTCCAGTTGAAGAGCAAGGTACCTCTTCATCCCAAGCGTTCCCCTTCTGTTCTGGGCCGCATAATGCATGGGATTGTACCCGAGTGACCAGACTTCGTGATAGAAGTAGAATTCTTAAGAGGCTGATAAATGTGAACTTTGTTTGCAAAACGCAAATCATTTGGTAACATCATGTAGGAAAAAAAATCCTTGCTATTACTGTCTCAACGCCAAAAGGGAAACAGAGATGGGTGGATCACCACTCTGCGTTTTGTCCCTTCAAATTTCAGTTTTGAATTCAGTTTTCTCTTGTCTAAATTTAATTCATTTGAATACATGTTGACTAACACAACTTGTCATAACACGCAATTTTCCTTTGACATGCAATTATTTCCTATTCCTTTTATTTGATTTAACTCAACTAATTTGGTGCCTTATTCATTAATTCTAAAAATGCATATTTCATTCACTTACCATTACATTATGTTCAATCGCTTAACATTGACTCTGAACCATGATTTCTTCCTTTCTGATTGTACTGTCGTTATTAAATCTACTGTTTTCATCTGAGGCCTCCATTTTGTTTGTGAAAAAGGTGCTTTTCTTGCTTATTCCTTTTCACTCAACACTTTTACTTGTATGCCTTTCTTATAAATGATAGCTTTGTAAGCCATATAAGCTTTGATATTGCTAAAGCAATCAGCATTGACCTTTTTTGTCCTAAATTCAATACAGTACATTCTATTACGCCATACTTTCTCTTTGCGGGGAGGATGCGAAAACTCATGAGTAAGATCCTGGCGCATGAACGTCGCGCCTCGGGAGTGTCGTGAACCTTCGGGTCACGATTTGTCCCATCGCTCCGGGCAAAGTACGCCGCCCACGAAAGAAGGCGGGCAGTCTTGGACGGCTTGCAAGGGCGAAAACGCTTCGGCGACCCCAGAGTGAGGACGGTCATTTTATGTCGTTTTCATGTCGGAATTACGTCTGTGTTAGTATGACGGTAGCGGACCCGCGAGAACCCAATCCAAGTTCAAGTAATACAAACAATAGGGAGTTCAAATCCAATCCATCTATTCCCTTTCTTTCCTTATCTTCATTTACCCCATTTACTCTTATCCTTCATTTAACCGCATTTATTTGTTCGATTGATACTCCTTATATCTTGGTCGATTGGTGCTTTTGTATCCATTTATGTAATGGCTTCGTAGTTTCATTTACTCAATAAACATTATGTAAAAACGAGGTGCCTTAAAGAACCACCAAAATCACACTTGGAAAGTGATGCATCCCAAGTTAGCCCTATTTCACAATGGACAGAGGATGAGGTTCGGTGTGCACTTGGGAAGATGAAGGTTGGAAAGGCAGTTGGTCCGGATGGAGTACCCATAGAGGCTTGGAAGGCCCTGGGAGAGCACGGGGTGAGGTGGCTCACCCGCTTCCTGAATACGGTGACTGCCGAAGGAAGGATGCCGGATGCCTGGAGAACAAGTACTATCGTCCCCATCTTCAAGCAGAAGGGTGACGCGATGGACTGCTCCAACTACCACGGCTCCACGAGGTATGCTGGTGTTATTACAACCTAATGTTCGTGAATGATTCTCATGAGAGGCTATTCTGTGCCTTCTCTAGCATACCCAAGGAAGCCGTAGTACGTGAAAATTATATGGAGGTGCGGTATTCAAGAACTGAGCGCACATGTTATGTCACGTTATGTTTATTACGTTGCTAAGGCATACGTAGTAAAGAACAAACAATCATACCCAAACCGAACGAAAATGAGCACAACCATGTGGCTCTATGAAATTATACGAAATAAAATCTGCAAAGTAAATTACCAGAACTATACTAGAAAAAGTATAAAGCTTCGACAACCATGAAACATGATAAAAAGCGGTTTAGCTCAAGGAAGCTATTAGATTTCATATTCAGATAGAACTGCAGCCATCTTACGCTTAAACCCACCCAGGGAGCCAGGAATGACCATATTCTTTGTTACCTTTTCGTAAAGAGTGGCAGCCCTGAAGGTGAAACTAGTGGCCCTTACGTTGGTCCTAGGCACAGATAACATTATTTTTGTGCGACCCCCTCTCGTACAAGAATATGCCGTCTTGTAAACGTCAAAAGAACCGAGCTGGTTCCGATGATATAGAAGTTTGTAAAAGATACATACATCAAAAACTCTGCGCCGTGACTTAAGTGTAGGGAATTTCGAGTATTAATTGCGAATAGACGCTTTCGGAATCCTGGAATACAAGAAACACCTACACCGAAAAAGGATTTTGCGAGTGAAATTATTTTGTACTCCCTCAATTGCCTCAACGTCCTTTCTCTTGTAGGGTAGAACACTGCAGAACCTGCCTCCACCAAGAGACGAAGCATAAGTTTTATAAGCCTTCAGAAGAAGAGACTTGTTCGTAGATGAAAGTCTCTCAAAAATGTGCGAAGTACGCAAGAGGGCCAATCTGCACCGAGTTCGAATGTGCTTAGAGAAGTCGAGGGTATTGCTAAAATGGAAACCCAGATCCCTTACACAGTTGACGGAGGAGCTAGTAACCCCATCAGCAATATAAGGGCTAGTAGAAAAATTGGGCCTATTTTCAATGGTCATACACATCGTTTTGTGTGGAGCCAAGGGTAGTTGCCACCGCTTTGCCCACATCACTTAACAAAGTAATAGCCTTTTTGCAGCTCCTCCTTATCCTTTCTTTCCGTGATAACTTTATAGATTTTCCACATCATCAGCATACATCTTAGTTGTAAGTCGAACCCATAGACCAACTAGGTATCTCAACTGTATTAATACTGAAAAGCACAGGTGAAAGAACTCCCTTGTGGTTCAAGGCCTTTGCGAGGCTAACGTGCACGAGTATAAATCCGGTTCCTTCGTCAGAAGGCGGCCACGAAACATTGCGGAAACCTTGTTTATGGATGAGTTTATAACAACTGCTACAACAACTGCTTGGTGCTTTATGCTTTATGCTTTATGTTTATAACAGCTACTTGTTTCACATTCAGATTTTATTGTTTTGCATAACGTAGCGTTAGAAAGATGGGCGGAAATGGTGTAGTGACAAGTGGCGCGCTTACCACGCTGCGAGCGGATCCAGGGATCAAATCCTGGGTCGTGAGTCGCCCGGGCCAACCAAGCCTTCCATCCTCCGGGAAATTGGTACCAGACTTGTCTGGGAGGATAAAAACACTGACTTGTACATCGGCTGGCCCCCGCAAGTCATTGTATAGGCCACATCGCATTCAAACGCCACTGCGAATGTACAAATGGAAGTAGAATGCGTGCCGCATCCCAAAAAGGGATTGATCAACGGCAAATGCTTTATCCTTTTTTTACCGCAAGAAAGTTAGGAGTTGCGCTCTCACCAATGTTTGGACACAGTTTTTTCGTGGTGGTGAGTGAGTTGGTGACATTAAAAATTCTCGCTCCGCTGTTCCTATATTCCAATCTGTAATCCTATAATTATGAAACGCCTTATGTATGAACGGTCGAGCGGATATTTTGTCTGCTGTCCTGTTGTCCATTATAAATATCAATTATCTTTTAGTTTTCTCAATGTTCATGCGCTTCTTTGGGCACATAAACAACTGAAGAATAACAATGGAATTCACGGAATTTACAACAAAAGAGGCGCAGCGAAGCTTGAAGATCATCGATGTAAAATAGCATTAGAGAATGTTTACGTTGAAGCGCATGTTTTTCTAATATAGCAGTTCCCATTCAGAAAAAGTCAAGCGGACTTTAGGCTGTTCGTGACGAGTGTTTTCATTGAAGGACCCATAAGCTGCGCTAAACGAAGAAAACTACTGTTGAATACGCCCCATGAGCTGAGGACTAGCTGGCAGTTAATTTGGCTTTGTTTCAACTGCAGTGGTTACAACACACTCTCTAAAAATTTGTTATGGTAGAATTGTTTGTTGGAGACAGTCATCTTCAATTATACAAGAGAGATTTTGCTACAGCAACATCATAGCTTGACCACGCCGGAGCTCCCAGCATCAGCACTTCTCT